CCGGACGGTGCCGGTGCTCCCCCTCGCAGCAGCTTCGCCGGCGGGCGGTACGGCTTTCCCACACCGAACAGAGGGCCCCCGAGGCATATTTTTTATTTAAGCACCTTTCTGAGTGGAGCCATAAGCAGCCTGTAAATAGTCTTGCCCGCAGACCCTGGGTTGTCAGGGGCCAGAATGATTCCTGTGATACAATAAGCAGAAGAATGAACAAAAGACTGACCCGATCATGAGCAGTTCACATGAGGCCCTCAGCCAAACATGCAAAAATAAATATTTAAGTACTTAGAAGGCTAATAAGCTGCTCCTGGATTTTTTAAAATCACCTAATGCCTACTCTTCAGGCCCTACTTTTTAGAAAGAATTATTTTCTATTTTCCATGCTGTTTTCTCATTTCTGGACCTTTTTCCTGTAAATAATGATCAAAGTCTTTTTCTTCCTGGTGTTTTTCCTCTTATGTGAGTCAAAGAAGTTGCTTGATACAGCACCTTAGAGCAGAAAGCCAACAGTCAATGCACTGTACCTCACCTTTTTGTTTGTTTGCTTGTTTGTTTCTTTAGTGCCCACCTGTCTTGTTGGGGACTGGGTCCAAAATCCCAATGTGCTGCAAAGTATTGCAAGTCTTTTAACTGAACAGGGTTAGGACTCTGGGAAGGGCTCAGGGAGACTTTTCTACCCTTGAAGACAGTGACTCGCCTTCCCAAGTTGGGCCTGAGATGAACAGTGCTGAAAACGGCCTTTCTCCTGGCAAACCTGAGCCCCGCAGGCTTTACTGACAGTGACTAACAATATCCCAAACAAAGTCTTTGCAGCCAGTTATCTTCTCTAGTCTTGGATTGTAACACGTAGATCAGAATCACATGCTTGACCTGAAAACTTGTTTAACTAGTAACTCATGAGCTGAACTAATTTGAAAGCGGAACCAGTTCAATCACTTTCGCGTGGGCATGCTCATTCCACACCGAAGTGGACGTCATTCACTTCTGTAGCAAATTATGACACAGAAGCTGAGGAACACTCAATTTAGGTGGGACTGTCCACAGAAGATTTAGTCAAACTTTAGTGGAAAGTATTTTACAAATGTAGATCCACTTTCCTAGGTATCCTCATATAGACAAACCTCGCATGTGGAGGACCAACTTTCGCTTTTGGTTTTTTTTTTTTCTTGGCCACACTAGTGACTAGAAAAACTCAAGTGGATCTTTCGGACACGTATTACACTAGAGCTGTTGAGCCAGACAACTGGAATTGATTTTTCATTTATTTTTCATCTACCTGAGCCATTGCGTGTAACTTCTTTAATAACTGAGTTCTCTTTGCAGTCAGTTCATCACCTCCCATTAAAGCCAATTCCAGCATCTCCAGCTTTGCAGAAGAGCGAGCCCCAAATATTCTTCCAAATCCTTTCTGTGCTTTACAGATATCCTTCAAGCAAATCTGTCTTCTTTCCTTCATATAAACATCAGTTCCCTCCTGATCCTTCACAAGGATGGAAGAAGTTCAAACATTTCCCTTTACCACAAGCTCTGTTGCCTCAAGGGTTAAGAGGATCACAGGTTCTTCATTTCTGCTCTCCACTAAACCCACCTCTTTTGCTTCACACACTCACAAAAGCCAGTTATTTTGAGGTACGTTTCCCAGCCTTCCAATGAGAGCTTGATTGTCTGCCATGCCCCTTATCATGAAAAGCCCAAACATCTTCCCATTTTGGTGTTTTTCACTTTTCCAGTACCCAGATTTGCAGCGAGCCCTGCTCTCTCCCCACCAACTCTTGTAATGAGGAGGAGTTTTCTGTACTCCACTTGCCACCCCCAGCATGCTTTCTCCAAGGTCTCTTGCTCCCCCTGCCACCACCATGCCCAGAATATCTAATGTCTGCTCTCTAGGCTCACTGTAAAGAGTTCAGCTCACTCTGTGCTACAGGAACGCAGAGTAACGTACAATAGTTGTATTAGGTATGGGTAATGAATTGCATTTCTGCAAAGAGAAAAATAAAAGCCACTTAATAAAGAGAATAACTTTTAATAGGCAGTTAATTTTTTTTTTCTTGACACACCATGGTAGTTTCTGAACAAATTTTGCACAAACATATATATATTTTTCACAATCTTTCTCTGCTTTTTTCTACTGTCCTTTCAGTATGATGCAACATGCTACAAAACACTTTTTTTTTTTTTTTAATCAACATGAAAATCCACAATGATTGCTTTTTTCATAGGAAACTTCAGCAATCGGGAATCTGAATAGTTGCAGATGCCAACTAGCTTATTTTAGACAGCCTGACCTTTCCAAAGTAGGCAAGACTCCTCTGCTCTTGAGCAACCCAAGTGATCCAGGAATACCTGAATGAACCACATAAGTTCAGCTGCAGCATGGAGGACACTTGTTGGTTCCCCATCTTTTACAGAACTTCATCAAAAGTTTCTCTCGGTGCCGCTAAGACAGAGGATTATTAGACCCATCAAAGTGGAAGTAAGAGCAATGGTCAAGCACAGGGAAATGAACACTTTTCAGCGTTGTGTATAAACATGAACTAATAAATCTGCTCGATCTCTTACCATACTCCTAGGTAAGTTTTATTATTTCAGAGAAGGAAATTGGAGAGAGAAGTTCCTCAAAAGCATTGTATCAATAGGTATCGAAACTTAGATCATCGTCCTGGCTCTTGGTCCTGCACTTACACCACCAGTTGTCTTCTTTCCATTTGCCAGTAAAACAATGGCGGTTCTTGGCACACTACCAGAGTCAGTGGACTGAGACTGAGCAGATGCTCACAGTAATGTAATTTTCAAACATTTATAGTTCTAGAGAAGTAGGATACATGCAGGTAGAAGCACTACTTGATATTTTTGAATTGCCAGCTCTGTACAAATTAAGAGAGTCTGTAATTAGCACTTGAAACACTCTTTAAACTTCCAGAGTTATTCAATAACCCACAGGAATCCCATGAATTACTCAGAACAGAGGGAAGAAGGTTCCTCTGTAAAATTGCTTATCTTGCTGACCCCCACTGTGCACCCCAGGCTATATAGGAGACATATTTATAGCACACGTAATGCAATAGCCAAGGAACAGGTGAAAATAAACTATGTTGCCTGCTACATTACAAGGATCATATTCAGTAATTTACAGAACTTCAAAGAGCCTCAGTGCAAGGTATATTCCCCCTTCACAGAAAAAAGTACACACTTCAGCATTTCACCCAGGCATCCCATCCTGTAAACATTTATGACAAGCAAAGTGTGTGCTACAGTGAGGAGTCTCATGGAAATCACTGAATTGATTTTCATAGTGGCAATTTGCCCCGTACTGTTTCAAGGGTCAGGCCCTGTTTGTGTTTTGCTACATACAATTAAAAGAACCCTATCTACCATAAGTTCAACAAAGTCTGCTAACATATTCCTTCCTGTATGTGCAGAACAAGTTTTTAGTAACTACTATGCAAACATCACCTGATTTTTACATTCTCTTCAACCTTCTTAAAAGTTTTCCTGCTTTTACTATATGTGAAAATAATAAATACATATGATATACCAGTTATTAAGCCATCAAAAAATTACGTGTCATTCCAGAAGGGCCAGGAGACACTTGAGATTTAGAAGTCAAGAGCTGGTCATTAACGCAAGTGTCCTGCCTGGTAAAAAGCTTCAATTGCTCCACATTTCCTGTGAAACTGCAACTTTGGTGGGATGTTCCTGCATATTGTGATAAAACAGGCTGCTTCACATCTGAAACGACAACCGTATCTCTAGATTATTATTCCAGGTAAAGTTGTTCAGGAACATAAGAGTAAGCTGAAATGGACGACATAGAGTAAATCCAACATGGGATAGACAAGAAGGAGTAAATCCATTGTCCAGGACATTGTCCTGCATCTGCACAAACAGAACCACCTCTGGGTTTTCGGTAGTGTAGGCAAAATTGCATTCCGCTGCTCTAATTCACGGGACAAAGAAGGTTATTTTGTCCTTACTGTTGGCATCAGGAAAGCTCAGTTTGTACATCCTGGGGGAAATGAGAATAGGCCAAAAACGTCAAAGATGTTTTGCAAAAGGGTCTCCCCATATTTCTGGTCAACCAGTTCTCTCTCAGTGGAGAGTGATGGGACCCATTCTGGAGGGGCTTCATCCTACAATGATGGTGGAAGGCTGCGCTTCATCTGGGCCCAACATAGCTGCCTCTGTCCGGTCCATCCCACATATGCTGTGACGCCTAGTTCCTCAGGGCATCCTTCTCCTCTACCTCCCTGCACTACCCTGGTCACACAGGGCCTTCCCACAGCCTACCCCTTTCCCACAGCCGCTTCCTTCTCCCACCCTCAGCAAAGGACCCCATTTCCCCACGAACAAGAGAAGCAACTCCATGGGAAGTGGAGATTGTGGTGCTGAGAAAGCTTCGTATGTGAAGGAAAATGCAGTGCCTGCATCACAAACAGTGGGTTTCAGAGGTGCTCTGACGGTCTCTGCCCTCGCACACGTAAAAATACTGTCTGACACCTGCCAGTTTTGCATGTTAGCCACTATAATACACCACCTCAATGAAAGCGCTTGCTTTTGCATGATGTGGAACAGACAGAGATTTTTCATGAAACCAGAGGAGCTGAACACTTCTGGGTACCAAGTTCCTTCTTTTATAGGTAACTGCCTTTAAAAATCTCTTACTTCTCACACAAACAAAAAGAAAATTCACCTAGGGAATTACAACCAGGAAATGCTGAACAGTTAAAGCCAAATGCTGTGCCTATAAAGGTCTACCTCTGCGAGGTGGCAGCTTCTCCAGTCCCTCGGTTTGCCTGGGACACTGTTCGTGATGGTGTGCTCAAGCTGAGCTTTGTTTAAGGCATTGCTCCTTGAGGCTGCCGCCAGCTGAAGTCATTGCTCTTTTTGTTTTGCATTTTTAACCCTTTCGTTTAATTACATGGCACAATACTCAGACTAACAAGTATTACCGAGACTAACACTAATGTTACAGGACGTAAGACGAAAGCAATAAACTTACGTATTTATTGCTGAGGTGCGAAGAGTTGCCGAGTTTTATTCTTCCCCTGAGATGAGTGCTCTCCTAAAAACCAGAAAATATATTTGCATCGGTTAAACATGCAAAGACAAAAGGACAAATGAGTCTAGCGGGAACACATCACCGACCACCGTACAAACTAGCCAGTCTCCTTGTCAGACTTACTTTATCAGCAAAAACTGTCCACACAATAGATTTTTACTACTCTCTCTGTGTTTTATAGCTTATTTCCCCTATGATTTGCTCTCAAATGGTGGGTTACTACCACAAAGTATTTCCAAAGCAGTTCTCAAGGGGTTAGAGAAGGCATAAGACTTTAATTAATTTTTAACTGTGATTAGAACATTAAATTATAAAAAGATACAACTATAAAATTATTTTTTGCCAATATCGCTGACAGCAGCTCAGTCCCTCCAAAGCAGGAAAATGAACAATTAACAACTTCAGTCAGGGATTACAGACAGTTCTCACTCCTCCCTCCCTGGAGAAGCAGAGCCGCTGCCAGCAATTATAGGCAGACAAATAAGCCTCCAGATGAGGACGTGTTTACAGTTGTCCTATTTCCAAATGTGTGTCCCAGGAACGGCAGTGGGATTTCTTTGTGTCAGAGATTCGGAGATGAACAAGGAATGGCATCCCCAGACTGGACAGAGCCTCATGGAAACAGGCACGAGGGTGGGAAAACCCAAAAGCCTCCAGGAAACTGCCTTCTGCCTCCCTGCTCACCTGCGGGAGACAATTTAATGCCTGACACATACACGAGAGGCAAGAAAGATGTACTACATTCTAGTGAAAGTGAATATGTATTAAAAAGCTTGCATATGATCTATAGCCTGGGGTTGAAAATTGTAATACAAATTAGGATTATAACAAATTCACTGATTAGGCATTTAAATAATTAGCAGTCAAATTAAATGGTTGCACTCCTGAAGAAAATAGAAGAGACTCGTCAATTGTTTTCAGACAGCTTTTCGTGGCAGCAAAAAGGGCTCTTTAATTTACTGCAGCCTTTCGGAGATGAGTAGAAAACTTGGTATCTAACGTGTTTCAATGAGAAACATTAAAAATTGTTTAACAACAATGTGCTGGAATGGTGTTTGCGTCTCAAGTTCAATTTTGGATAAAATTATTTTATCCAAAAAAAAATCATTTATTTTATCCAAAAATAAAAACATTATAAAGTGTTGCTAAGTTATAGCTTCAGAAGTTCTGACCATGTTACATTTCAGCTAAAAAGGCCTTCAGCAACTACTTCAATAACTCATAAGGTAATTTTTTCGAGAAAAGGAAAGCACAAGTTTCTGGAAGAAAAAAATGAAACATTTCAACAAAATTTATACATTTTTGGTAGGTGAAAATTTTTTGTTAGATAAAAATCGTTTTGAAAAGCTAAAATAAAGTGAACCTGTTCAAATGTTGTATAGTTTTGTACTTACAAAGGAATGAGATTTTCAAGAACTCTCCTTTCTTTTTAAATTTATTTTTATTTATTTCTTCCTTTATTATTTCTTCCTTCTGCATGATTTTACCTTCCTTGTTCAATAGACAGAAATGGAAGATTTAATAGGGTGTGAAAGGAAGAAATTGGCAAGATTGTTTAAAAAACAAGGTGTAGGAGAAATTCATTGAGAAATGTATTACCATGGAGAAGATACATTGAATATTCAATAGTTGTAATAAATATCAATACTTTGTTATCAGTTCCACTCTCAGCTGGTTGCTCTGCCTACACTAGAAGTTAGGCAGGCTTACAGGGAAGACTGATACTTTGCACCACAGGAAAATAACATGTCTAAGGAGAGGCTCCAGAGCTAGCATAGCTCCCTGGATAACGTCCCACTGATGTCAACAGGCTTTGGATCAGAGTGTGAAATGGGTGAGGCAGTGCTGGCTGCAGGAGGCATGCTGCTCGAGCGGTACCTGCCGACAGCCGTGGTCAGGACAGGAGTGGTGAATTTGCCTTATTGCAGACCCTGAGACCGCAGCACGCAGGCACTCACGTGCCCTGTCCAGATTTCCTGGCGCTATACACATAATCCCTGGAAATAATGAACTGCTGCAAACTATTGCTGGGATCAACGTCCCCTTATAATATCAGTGATTGTCCGATGAGGGTTCGATGCAGGCAGGGATGCTCTGCGTTGCTTTGCCACTGCGCTCCCAAGAGGGCAGGAGCCTGCAAGAATTCTGAAACAAAACCAAGTTATCGCTACTCCATGGTTGCAAACGTGTCTGAAGATATTTGCATTACAGGGTCTATGATCGTTAGTGCCAGCTATCAATTCAGTGATGAAGAGAGAATAAATATATACTGGAGAAGAAATGGTCACACAGATGCTCTCTGATAAGAGAAACGAGGGTGACACACGATTTTAGATACAGGGCTGCAGTACGCCTTAAGACTGCACAGAGAAGTGTCTAGAACAATTTTGGAGTCCAATGGCTCAGCAGTTTGATGTTGTGCCAAATATCCAGCTGCAACACAAAGAGCAAATTAAGAAGAACATTCAGGTTAGTTGCAAGTGGGAAGACAGTTTCATTGATCTCAAAATAGCCTTAACTTACAGAAATAAATTCCAAGACAGCAAAAAAACCAAACTTGCCCCCAAACCATCACCCACTGAAACCAAAATATTGCTTCCCATAAGGGAAATGAAAAACAAATACTTGTGTTGAGTATTTGTTAGAACAGATGATATTTTAATTGACTGAAGGGATTATTTCACACCAAACTGTTTGCCAATGGAGAAAATACACAGTGCAGTGGCGGTGCTCAACCAGTCTAGATGGATTACCTGCATGGTTTGAATTCTGTCGTCGAGAGAGAATACCAACAAGAGCAAAATTGCTGGACAACATCAGTGAAAAATTGACTTTTGTTGATTCTGGGTTATCCATGTAGGGAAGGGTGACACACTTAAGCTCCAGTGTTGCAGACTAGGAGATGGAAGGTATCAAGAGAGACTTGACCATCAGTTTCTCACAATATAGTTATACAGCATCTTGCATAATGGTAACCCAGTATCGGTTGATCCCATTTGATAGGTACTATGGCAATAATTTTCTGATAACGGGTTGAAAGTTCATTGCACGTTTGTCTACTTTGATAAGTAAATGAGAGAACTACAGAAAGTGGAGATGAAGGGAACTGGAAGAAAGTATTTGGTACAGTTAACCAAGCGCTGTCAACTGCGCAGCTGCAAGTGCAACGTGACCCCCTTTACCTGCAGTCCTGCCTTGTGACACCTCTCCTGATGGAGGAGGAGTTGTGGGCTCATACAGATTGGCAGAGGGCAGCGAGAAGCCGACCTCATATATATCACGCACTTCTACAAAAACTGAAAGAAATGATGCACAGTTTGAGAAAGAGGCCTTAGGAAGAATATTTGGAAAATGAAATCAAGTTGATACTGACATGGAAGTTTTAGTTGACAAGCAAACCCTTCCATTAAACCTTTTATTCTCCCTCTCATCCTCCAATGTTGCACCTGTTTGTTGATTTTTAGTCTGAAATTGGATTGTAAACACACAGACATGGGCACCATGAAGTCTCTAAACAGCACTGTCATATAATACAGACAGATCTGTAGTTAAATTGTCTAACTTATTGCCGCAGGAGGCTGCGGATGCCACAGGGGCTAAGACAAATTCATGGAAGTAAAAGCCACTGAGAACTATGAAGCACCAAAGATACAACCTCTGGTTCAGGATGTCACCAAGCCACAGAGTGCTGGAAGGCTACATGCCCTTCATGTCACTATGAGTACAGAAAATCTTTGACCTGGGCAAAGCCCTCTTTGATGCTATTGGGAAAGCTGGAAGAAAAAGGGTATAAAAAAATAGTCTTTGACATAAAAAGTAGGTTGTACTGCATCTCAGGTTACGTTGTCTGTAAGAAAAAATGAGTTGCACTGTTATTTCACTGTAATATCTGCTGCTGAGAAATTGCTCATAAGTGGCAATCTGGTTTGGAGCAAAGAATTAATGCAAGTATTTCATAAAATATGATTGCAGAAACCTATTTTTTATAAAAGTATAAAACTACCTCTGCAGACACAGAATCTAAATGTCTGTTTTTGCCATGCTGAACTAAAAGAAAGAAGGGTGCATTATAGATGCTGGAGAACAGCACTGAGTGGGACCCAGCGCCTGGATGCACTGGCTGGCTTTGGTTGTGGGCCAGCGGGTCCAGCACCTGCGACGTGCTGCAGCGCTCCCCTGACACGCACTTCACCCATGCCCCTGCAAACTGCTCCTTGCCACCGTCAGCAGGACAGAAGGTTCTGTACAATTCACCAGGGCAGAGAGAGCACGTATGGAAACGTTCAGGTGAAGGATAGGAAGGCAATTGCTGCTGAACGGCCACAAAGGGTGGGGACGTGGCTCAGAAACCACGGGCTGGAAAGTTAGCAAACGCTCCACAGATGAAAACATCCCCTGACCCGTAGTGGTCTCTGATTGTAAGACACTGCTTTAAAAACTCTCGCAAATATGCACAGCTCACAAACTGAATTACAAATATAGAAGGAAACCTAGCTATTTAATGTTTTTGACTACAGTTTTGCCCAAAACTCTTATCTGGAAGTGTGCGCAGTCAGATCTTTGTGGTGCGAGTAAACACAGACAGAATCCAGCCATGAGCTGCAAAAAGCTGAGAAAGTTTATTCTTCAGTTTCTATGAAGAAAGAAAACACAACTTCAGGCCATTATACAATACAAGAATAAAAAAATAGAGTATCAGAAAATGAGAAAGAGAAGGAAAGGGAAACAGGTACTTGATCTATCTCTTTGTTGTGAGCGGACCCTTTTCTATGAAGCAGCTTCTAGGTTTTCTACCTGCAAGGAAAAAAACAAGACACTGAAAGTACAGCTCATAATAGGAAAAAGAAATTATCAATATCATATCCTCACATTACTAGGAACACCCCCTCTTGCCGCTTCTAAGCGTGCAGCATGCCAGCAGACTGCTCTCTGCTGACCTGCATTGCTTATGTTGCAAGTGAGAGGAGGAGGGAAAGGAATTTTCAGTGACAGTGTGCCTCACC